GAAAGAGCTTAGTACAGTTCGAACTTACTTAGACTGTTGGTAGGAATATGCAGATGCATGTTCGTTGGATGTGTCCACCGCTATCTGTTGCTGCTGACCACTGGTGTCCTGGGATGAAGGTGCCACTGTCTGGGGAGAGGTATCAGCAACAACACCCTAAGGAGGCAAATAAGAACACTGTCTTATTGGCTTCAGCAAAGGGCCCTTTCCAGATGGACTTCAGAGAATACCCCTCTTCTCTTTGGCTGGAGGAAAATTTCACTCAGTTACGAAGCCACAATACGTACTCAAAGGAAAGCCACGGAGCCTATGTGGCTAAGAGCTGAGAAATTCACCTCCATGAGCGCCCAAGGATCCTTGCCATCACGTCCTTGGAGCAGTCAAATGGTCAGAAATCATTTTGCTCATACTTACAACTCTTCAACCAGACTTGTATGCAGCCACACTGAATGGTAATTTATTAAAAAATTCATGAAGGATTTCTACAAAAAATTGTATACTCAAGCATTTTATTGGGATAGTGCACTGTACCATGTCTATATGATCTGGCAAAGCAATGGACTCTGACCTGCATAAGCATCTACATTAAAGTTTGGAATTCTTTTAAAAGAATATGGTTAAGGAGGTTTCCCTTCAGAAATTTGATTTTTTTTTCCACAATAAGAACTGGAATTCACTTAAAGGTTTCAAATAGTCAAACAAACATCACAATTTTGATTTGCTCTTTTCCTCCTTTTCATTCTCTTTATCCTCACAGATGCCCACAAGAATGAATTTCTGAAGTCGGTCTCTTTAGGGACACATATTGGTTCCCAGAGAGGCATAGGTAGTTTCATTAGGTAATTATTAGGCCTAAAAGGCATCTGTCTGAATATATTCTCATAGTTTCACTTATAACCTTGAACACCTGCAGCAATATTGAGGTCCAAATGTTCTTGGACAACTCTCTGCCATAAAAGACCCTTGAGGTCCTCAGAATCTGAAAATGGTCCCTTTATTAATCTTTTTCTTCCTGATACTATTTGGTATTGTGTGTGTGTTTTCCTGAACCTTCCACCAGTATTTAGTTGTATGGATATTGGTGAATTTTCAGTGAGTGTTTTCACATAAAAAATGAATTATTGCTTTTCCTTATAATCATAAACTAAAAGCAATATATCAGAGTGTACCTCTATTTTTATCAATGAAAAACTTCTTTTTAAGTCCTAGATTTAACTATAATTATATTGTTTTCAATAAGCCACACTATTGAATGTGTCTCATTATTTGGTAGTCATCAAAATGCTCAAATTCTGTAGCTAACCATATGTCTTTGGTGTTGAGATAGATAGAAATGCAAATATGTAGCAGAGATTTATGTTTAAATGTTCAGGTTCATAATTTTCTCATGTCCTAGATGCTTTTTGACAGCTAACTATAGCAAGGAAAATGTGTTTTAATCACAGAGTCTTAAAATTTTGAAAATCCCATTAAAACCTATTTAATATTAACTGACACATTCTTTGGGGCCTTACAAGTCTGGGTCTCTGTGAGTTCCTAAATTACATGAAGTGTCCCCTTAAACTTCTGAGTAGCAGCAAACATTTGTCACATACAAAATGTATAAATGGATTGAAGAAGATGTGGTGTACTTATGTATACAATGGAATATTACTCAGCCGTTAAAAATGAAATATCGCCACCTGCGACAACATGGATGGATCATGAGGGTACTACACAAAGTGAAAAAAGTCGGACAAAAAAGGACATAAACCATATGATTTCACTCATATGTGGGATATAAAACAAAAATAAACTCATAGATACAGACAACAGATTGATAGTTACCTGAGGGAAGGGGGGTGGGGATGGAGGAAGGGCAAAATGGGTCAAATATTTGGTGACAGATGGAAATCAGACTTTTGGTGGTGAGCACCATGTAGTATATACAGATGCTGAATTATAGTGTTGCACCCCTGAAACTTACATAATGTTACCTCCATTTTTTTAAATGCCAATTCTGATTCAGGAGGTTCCAGGTGGTGCGTGAGAGTTTGCAGTTTTAAACAAGCTCCCCAGTGATGTCTGTAATGCTGGTCCAGGGACCTCTCTGAGTAACAAGGCATGAGAGTTGCAATATCACCCCTCCCTATTTATGGGTATTGTGGTTAACATTTGATGGGATAGAGATTTAGTCTCTGATCTTTTCTCTAAATATGAAAATGACACTTCCCTCATACTTTGATAGCAAATTAACTTATTTTATGTGCAAAGGAAAACCTAGGCATAGCCAGGTATGGGCACATATTTTCATATACTGAGCTTGCAATTTCAAATTTCAGAGAAGCACAAAAATCTCACATCAGGATTCCTTGGGCTATGGGGACCACGGCATATGTGGCTGAAATGTATCTCTGTGACCCTCTTTCCATAAGACAGAGACAGACTTACTTCGATAGAAACAGCTGTCGGAGGCACAGGCGTGTACTGGGGAATGTAGGTCCCTTGCATAGGAGCAGCAGCAGTCATATACTAGAGGGAAGCAAAGAAAAATGCAGGTGAACTTGGGATTGCAACCAAAGAGGAAAGTAGACATCACATGAGATATGTGGCCCATGGCCAGTGCATGATTAGAGTTACACTATATTTTGACCAAAAATGAGGCAGTTCCTATCAGCACAAAATTACCTCTCTTTACTGATTCAGTTACTAATGGCAGCCCACCTCCACAGTACCAGTACAAATTAACCACCCCCATTCCCTCACTCTGTCTTTGTAAACAGTCTATACCAGATCTCAAATTATTTCACTTTCATATCTAAAATAAACTCCATGAGGGCAGGGATGATGTTCTTTATTTTCTCCATTTTCCTGTTGGCATCTATCACATAGTAGGCTCTCAACAAATTATTTGTTGAATGAATGAATCAGATTGTTAATAATAATTTCTTGTCTAAATAAAAATAATACAGGAATAATGCAAGAAATACTTATGTAGCAACATTGAGAATTGGCAATTGTCATTTTGTTATTTTCACATAACTATTTTATATCTATATCTACATATATATCTATATATCTATCTATGTACATAAATTGCAGATAATGTTACAGTCTCCTTTGTTCCCTCCCCATCCCATTCTCTTGTCACTTTCAGGATTTCCTTTTCAACTCCTTGAATTCTCCAAATTTTCTTCGTCCAAATAAACAATGAAACATTCAAACATTTTTTTTTCACTAAGTTGTAGTATTCAGTAACATATGTATTGGGGATAACATGTATTTTTGCAATGAAGATAGGGAGCCCCAGAAAAATCACAGTGTCATCTAACAGAAAGTATGACCCATAATCCTATTTCTAATACACATCTCCCTTGCAAATTCAAAGTTCTACTCTTCGACAATGGAATTTTCTATAGAATAAACTTTATTTCTGAGTTCCTAAACTTGATGAACAGCACAAAACTTTAGAACCAGAATCCTCTAATGAAGATAAGATTTCTCAATTCATGCAGGTTAGAGAAATTATGTTTATGAAAAATCATAAGCCTGTGAATATTTATTATTCTCAATTTGTTGAGTTCAAAAATTAAGGCCATGCATTAATATGCAAAACCTAAATTAGTATGCTTTACGTATCTTGGTACTTTCAGTACCCAAGAGACAAAGTGATTCTGAATCAAGGGAATATATGAATGGAGACTAGCTCATCGGTTGTTGTTTAATATTTATGGAGAATTATAGCAGCAAAGCAATTCTGGAGTAAATGCATCTTCGTTGTAAAATAAGCACTGTCCTACTGTATCTATTGGTTAAAAAATAGAGACAGCTCTAATGAAACAACTCCAAATCAAACAAACTGTTGTCTGTATTCTTGTTGCTACTAATAACAGCTAAGTGCAATTCACATATGTACGTATTAAACAGCCTTGTCACTTGGAGCAAGAGCGATTGTTTGAAAGGCCTGGTGGTATTACTCATTTAGCTTTTTAGTTCAATATTATCCGAGCTTTCTGTGCCCTGTCCTCTGTGATAGCATTCATCACTCGTCTATTAAAATTGTCCAGACTATTATCTCCTGGAAGGGATGGGTCAAATGTCACTTGTCTCTGCATCTTCTAACACACTGAAAACCTGATTCTTGATAAGTTATTGTTCAAGGCTGAATAAAAGGATACGAGTAGAAAACCTTCCACTTCCAATTACAAATCTTGCATGCCTCTTAGCCATTGATCATTCTGAGTTTTTTATATTAATGTCACCAACCCTATAAGGTTTATATAACATTTTAAGAAATACTTTCTCCAACTGTCCTTGTATCCTTAAGCAGATAATAAGTATTCAGGTATTTGATTGCTGTCCATTTTTAAAATAAGTATAGAACTCTGGAGTCACATTTCAGCAAATACTTCACCTCTAGAACCCTGTGGCAGGTGTTTTCATTAGCAACAAAACCGCTTTAGAGAGTACATCGGGGAATAATTATAGTCTCCTGACTATTTCAGACAGGTGGTTTGACTGTGTTGTATAGGTTTTAGATATCCTTTGATTCAGTTTTCCCTAAAATGTATTTTTTATAGAATGCTAGGCTCAAGTGAGAAAAAAGCTCTGTGTTCCAATGCACTTCAGTAATGCTGTGCACTATATTCTTTTCTTTGATACTGACATGTAATAAAACACTTTTGAGAAATAATTATTTTACAAAAGCCTAGTTAAAGTTGATTAAGCCAGCATTTCTAAAACTTTATTTTGTAGTGCCTAATAATTTTTAGAACTAGTGCTCTAAAAAAAACATACTTTGTAAAATGTTTCTTTAATCTCAAAAATCCTAGATTTATAGCAAGTAGGAAATATATATATATCAACTATGAATTTAAGCACAGAATTGATACTGTTGTGGTTCATGTTCTACCCTTAGGTCATGATTTTCTAAGAGTTAGAATATACTAGTAAAAGGACAATCCACTATGGAGCTGGTAATTTTCTTTAAAAAAAAAAGTTTGTTTTTTTAAATTGATTTCAGGTAGAGGGAGGGAGAGGGAGGGAGAGAGATATAAACATCAATGAAGAGAGAGAGAATCATAGATTGGCTGCCTCCTGCATGTGCCTCCACGGGGAATCGAACCGTGACCTCTTGGTTCAGGGGTCAACGCGAAACCACTGCGCCACACCAGCTGGGCCAAGTTAGTTATTTTCTATTCCAGAGTTAGTAATTACAGCTTTGCAACTGGGCCTGATAAGTGTATCCTTTGCATTAGACAATGCCATCACTGGCACCCATCTGCAGGACAGGACTTTGATCTGTCCCTGCTCCACTGTCTGCATCTCTAAGGAGGTGGTTCTGTGAACTAGATTTAGGAACATGATCTGAGGCTATAGAAAGCAATCTTCACTAGCTCACAGGAGAATCCACCTCATTTCTTAAGACCTCTCATGCCAAACTAGAGTTCCTAGGCTGCGTAGTTAATGGAAAGCATATTCTGTAATTCTTAGCTAAGCTTCTTCAAATGATTCTGAGTTATTCCAAACTCTGTGTTTTATTCAGTAAAACAGAATCAGCAAATCTTCACACCTCCCATGACATTCAGTGAAGTGGGAACATGACCTAACTGAACTGCTTAAGGTGTGTAAGTTCATACTCATCTTCTGTTTAGAACAACGCTGTATGATAGGCAGGATGGTTCACCCATATTACACACTGAGAAACAGAGACCTACATATAATTGGAATAAACTCCAGTTCTTCTGACCTGTGATTTAGCGCTTTTCAACCCACTACATTATCTTTGAAGTTTTAAGTAAATAAGGTCTTAAGAGGCTCCTTTTGATCATTACTATGTACTATAGATACTGTTTTTTCTTAACTAATGGAGTGTAATAACTAGTTCTGGATAAAAAATAGAATAATATGCCTATGACTAACATTTTTATTGTTTAATTTCCAGACATTTTTAAATTTTACTTTATACTCAGAGCACCTGATTTCCTTCTAGGAGGGCTACCCTATATGTTTAAGTGTTACTTAACTTGTTTTTATGCTACTATTCTAAAGAGAACCAGTAGAGATTTTATAGTATAAACTAGAGGCTCAGTGCAAGAAATTCGTGCACTTGGGGTGGGGGTTCCATCAGCCCAAATTGCGAGGGTGCAGGCCAGGCTGAGGGACCCCACCTGTGCACAATTGGGGCCGAGGAGTGACCACAAAAGGCTCCAGGGTGGGTCCAGCCCTTCTTGTTCAGTCCCGGTCAGCCGGACCCCAGCAGCAAGCTAACCTATCGGTTGGAGCATCTGCCCCCTGATGGTCAGGGCATGTCATAGTGACTGGTAAACTGGTCGATTTGTTTGCTCCCTGGTGGTCAATGCACATCATAACAATTGGTCGACTGGTCTCCCACTGGTGGTCAGTGCATGTCATAGTGAGTGGTTGAGCAGCCTTAGCATATCATTAGCATATTATGCTTTGATTGGTTGAGTGGACAACTAGACAACTGGATACTTAGCATATTAGGCTTTTATTATATAGGAATAGAGGCCCCGTGCATGAAATTCTTATATGGGGGTTGGTGCCTCAGCCAGGCCTGCACCCTCTCACAATCTGGGACTGCTGGCTCCTAATTGCTTGCCTGCCTGCCTGCCTGATCACCCCTAACCACTCTGCCTGCCTGCCCCATGCACCTAACCACTTGCCTGCCTGCCTCATCGCCCCTAACTGCTCGCCTGCCTACCTAATTGTCCCTACTCGCCTCTGCCTCAGCCCCTGAAACGGCAGCTTCATCCAGAAGGACATCCAGAATGACGTCCGAAAGGTTGTTCGGCTGTCTGGTCTAATTAGCATATTTCACTTTTATTATTTTAGATGAGGTCAGTTCAGTTCAATATGCTCTGTGTGTGTGTGTGTGTGTGTGTGTGTGTGTGTGTGTGTGTTTTAATGGGAAAAAACCAATAACCCTACTTTTGGGTTGCTTTTTTTTCCCCCTTTGGTCATCAGTAACTAAGACAGGGCTTGAGAACGTTGTTTGAAAATTAGGAACAGACACTTATTTCAAATAAGTCGGTGCTATGGAGTTTTATACCCTGTAAAACTATTATCTCTGGATAAACTTGTACAACAAACTCTTCTGTAGTAGACATATATTTCCTAGAGTAAAGCCTCAAGAAGTGGCAGCCTTATAAATTTAGGAGCAACTGCTTACAGGACATGGTTATAGCTATATGTAAGATCAATTCTCAGCTTTACATAATTGGTGACAAATAACCCTGCATTTTCTTTGCAAGCACAGAGCTTGATTTCCTTAAGAGATAAAGTGCAGCCGAAACCGGTTTGGCTCAGTGGATAGAGCGTCGGCCTGCGGACTGAAAAGTCCCAGGTTCGATTCCGGTCAGGGGCATGTACCTTGGTTGCGGGCATCCCTGTGGGGGATGTGCAGGAGGCAGCTGATCGATGTTTCTCTCTCATTGATGTTTCTGACTCTCTATCTCTCTCCCTTCCTCTCTGTAAAAAGTCAATAAAATAAAAAATAAAAATAAAAAGAA